GGGCAGCCACCCACGCATGCATACGTGCACCTATGTTCCTTCATCCCTCAAAAATTTGGAAAAAGTACAATGTGGCCTTTACACTCAAAAGTTTGGAGACTCCTGTTCTAGGGTATTAGTTCTTCCACCCAATTTTGTGTCATCTGCAAATTTGTTAAGCATGCCTTGTACCCCCTCATTCAAGCCATTAATAAAAACGCTGAAGAGCACCTGACCCAGGACTGAGCCTTGTGGCCAACTCTCTAGCTATTCTCCTGGAGATAGTAATGCTTTTTTCTTATATGAGTCTCTTTGATAAGGGTCTCCATGTGATAATATCAGATCAAATTTCCTTTGTTTCAGTAGTACGTTGAAGAAATCAGCCCCTATGGCTTCTTCTAGCCATAAAGCATTTCTATCTGTCTGTCTGTCTGTCTGTCTGTCTATTTATTTATTTATTTATTTATTTATTTATTTATTTATTTATTAAATTTATACCCCGCCCCTCTAGACCATGTCTACTCGGGGCAGCTTACAACATAAAATATATCAATATAAAATATATATAATCATAAAAAATACATTTACCATATTAGTTAAAACAATTAATTTAAGAAAGGATTACCAAGATGGGGTAGGATAAGGAAAGAAGAAATTTTAAAAAAGACTTAGCTGACTGGAGGGAAGGCCTGCCTAAATAGCCAAGTTTTTAACTGTCTTTTAAAAACACCCAGCGAGGGTGCCAGCCGAATTTCTGTTGGAAGGGTATTCCACAGCCGAGGGGCCACCGTCGAGAAGGCCTGTTTTTTTCCTTCTGAGCCTCTCTCGGCGTCAGGCCCCTCAGCCATCCCTGCTGGCTATGATGGATGATCCGGGTAGATCTGGGTGGGAGAAGACAATCTGCCAAATATTGAGGTCCCAAACCGTTTAGGGCTTTATAAGTGATCATTAGCACTTTGAAGTCGACGCGGAAACGGATGGGCAACCAGTGCAAAGCAGCCAGAGTGGGGGAGATGTGTTGGTGTTTTCTCACCCCACTAAGTAGCCTGGCTGCCGCATTCTGGACCATCTGAAATTTCCGCATCAGCCTCAAAGGCAGCCCCATGTATAGTGCGTTACAATGGTCTAATCTCGAGATTACGAGCACATGTACTAGAGTAGTGAGGGCCCCTGATCAAGATATGGACGCAGCTGGGCAATCCGGCATAGATGAAAATAGGCGGAGCGGACCACGGACTGCACCTGTGTTTCCATGGTAAGCGCCGGGTCCAGATGTACCCCCAAGCTGCGAACCTCATTCTTTGTGGCAAGGGTCTTTCCCCCGAAAGAAAGGGAGTTACCTATACCACTGATGGAAGGACCACCCACCCTCAAGACCTCCGTCTTGTCCGGGTTCTAGAAGATAATCTATTTAAAGTATACTGTATTAATATTCCTTGAGATCTAGAACCTGTAGTGTAATAACCCCGTTCCAGCCTACTATGTTGCAGGCTGCAGAGAGAAGGTGGTGGGTAGGGAATGTTGTTGCAGAAGATATTTATCCAGAAACAAAGTTAAATGTGCATTAAATACAAAATCTGTAGGGCAGGGCAATTCAACTTTATGAAAAAAAAATAAAGTTGCAAATCTTTGCACAGTTGCTGGAGGCATGCTTTTTCAGTAAACATATTTTAAGTCACCAAAGAAAGCAAGAGAGAGAGAGAGATAATAAGAGCTCCTGATGTTTTATTCATTCCTGGGGATGTCACAGATACTATTCTGTAGGTGACCATAACAATTTGCTGGTCAAATTGTGGGAATCCTGTAAAGTACTTAAAAAATAAAAGCAAAAAGAGGCATACCTGCATAACAAAAGTTCTTGGGTTGTAGTTAGATTATAGTGTTTACCTTAACATACAGAGCTATGCATATATTTTCCCTATCCATTCACCCAATATAAAACATTAAATAAAAATGCATTCATTTGTGAAACCTTAACTCCAGTCTGAGCCCTATTTGAAAGCATAAGTTGGCTTGCAAAATCAGGAAGATCTACTTAAATAAACATGGTTTGTTCCAGTGCATAGAGTAAGAGGGCATTATGTGTGCTTGCAGTCTGAATCCCAGTTTGTTTGAAAGAACGAAAACACCATAAAAATTCAGTGCTGAAGGTCACTCAAAGCAAGACACTTCACTTATTCTCAACAGTGTGTTATATTCTGAGGGGGAAATAAGAATAGTTTCAGCTTTCAGTTCTTAAGAGAAATAAGTGTAGTACAGGTTCAACATTTGAACATAATGAGTTTCAAGTGATACTTTTTAACTAACAAATATGCACTCTTTTTTTTCCAGTGGTCATTGAACCAATCCCAGTTGGGCAAGCTGCTAGGGATTACCTAAACCTTTACGTCATTCCTACACTGCTGAAGGGACTTACAGCTCTGTGTAAGAAGAAGCCAGCAGATCCATTTGTAGGTATCGCAATAACTGCCAATATCAAGTGGTTAAGATCATAAGAGATAAGAACTGGAAAGGTTCGGCTGTTTGGGGGAATCTCATCTCACTTCCACTGCCTATCAAAGAATAACTCTTATTGTTTTTTTTAAAAAAAGACAGCTGATAAGAGCAATACTTATATTTACACATCTATTTTGACCCTGTCAAGCCCAATCATACATTTCCTTTGTATGTTAAAATCAGTCTAGACTGACTGTCTCATTCTTCCTCAGCTACTCAGACAACTCTTGTAGATTTTCAATGGCAAAAGTGAGAATCATTATAAGTGCAGTTTGGGGACTGTAAGGAAAGTTCGCCTTAGAAAACTTGTTGAGGAAAAAGGGATTATTAAGGGAGGTTTACTGAGTATGATTCATTCTGCTTCGGTTTCTATATGCCGAGATGCCAAAAATGTTGTATTCACATTAGCAATTATAGAGGAGATAACCAATTTCTTTTTTGCCTCTTTTCTGTTTCCTCTGTAGACTTGGCTGGCTGATTGGTTAATTGAGCATAATCCCAACACACCTAAGCTGCAACATAATGTGATTGTAGAGGAACCCTAAAAACGCAATTTTAGAACTCATTAAAAAGTGTCAAAGATACTTTTTCACTAACAATTGTCTTTTGAATTTCTTATTAACATTGATCTGAAATACGTAGTAGTTTATAAAATGATCCAAAAAGTGAGAACTACTACTTTGTGAAGTGTATGGACTTAAGTAGCCATATCCATATCTGGGGCATACATGAATTTAAAAAAGTAGTTGTCATTATTAATTAATTATTATTAATTTTTATTTTCATTTATATGTTGTTTTTGTGTCCAGAAGAGTGTGCAACGTTATTTAAACAATAAAACACATTAAACTTACAACAGACATAGCAATCTAAGAAGTATACAAATGCATCATCCTAAAATAGTGGAAACACAAATAAAATAGCAGCACCTGAGAGCCCATCAAAACAGTTCCTACTTACATCTGCTCTTGAACTCCTGCAAAGATGCCATGTTTCTCAGGGACTCAGGAAGGGAGTTCCAGAGCATGAAGGAAACAGCATGAAAAGTTCTCTTCCTAACACATCCAGATCAAACAGCTTTGACAGAGTGCACTCAGACAGGGAAATAGCTTGCATTTTGGACTTTTTGTGCCATAGTCTGGTGATAGCTATTTCCTGGACTTCAGTGAGGCCTCAAACCAGCCTGACCTAATCCATGCCCAAGCAAGAGCTTTTTCATCCAGCAGTAGGGCTACTACTTTTGCGGGGCTGGACTAGAGCTATTCCTCCATAGACTGAAGGGTTACTTTAAGAGAAATTGTGCCCAGTGAAGCAATTCAATCTGGTGTGATCAGATGCGCTCCTTTCCCATTGTGTGATCATATCCACAGTTTGCACCTTTGCAAGGATAGTCCTGGATGACCTCAATTTTTAAGATAATCATTTAACTGCTGATTTTTAAGACCTCCAGGAAGACTACCTCTTACAATGAGATATTAATTACAATCAGCAGAAAGTCTCTCACATTCCCTGAGCAGGCCTTCGCCAGTCTTGAATGACAAGAGTCCAAACTGTAGGTGCTATCCTCCTTCTGTAATGTGCTCATTTAGAAGTTGCAGCTACAAGTGAGCAGGCATACATAAATTGTCTGTATCGCTCTCTCTCTCTGAAATTAACCAAGTTCTTTTTTATCTTTCTACACACTGACCCAGTCTCTTCATCCACCTTCTTGTTAAACCATGGGACTGGATTCCTTTCTCTGGGTCAGAGGCATCACTGAGGAGTGATTTGATCATCTTTTGTAGCCCATCATCCAGAAGCTTACTTAGTGATCTATCACCTCGCCACCCGTGACTTCAAAATCCCCAAGGCTTAAGAGGAACCAGTTGAACCATCTTATTTATATCTATGACTTGGAGGGTTTGCGTTGTTATGTCCATTTGGGTTTTAATAAGGAAACAGTCAGACCATAGGACAGGCTAGATCTTCAGCCCTCCATTAAAACTACAAGTGGTGCCTCGCTTAGCGACGTTAATCCGTTCCAGGAAAAACGTTGCTAAGCGATTTAATTGCTAAGCAATTTTTAAAAGCCCATAGAAACACATTAAAATGTGTTTAATGCGTTCCTATGGGCTTCAAAACTAACCTTATGCGAAGATCCTCCATAAGGGCAGCCATTTTCGGTGCCTCTAAAGCGAGGACACACAGCGGGTGGCCATTTTGTTTTTCTGGTGGCCATTTTGAAACCGCAGATCAGCTTCCCCGCGATCATCGCAAAGCAATTTTCCCCCATAGGGACCATCGCTAAGCGATCACTCTTGCGATGGCCAAAACCCCATCGCTAAGCGATTTCATCGCTCAACGGAGCGATCGCCAAGCGAGGCCCCATTGTACTAGCAAGCTGCTTAGTGCGGAAAAATACAGCCAATTTTTTTTGTGTTTAGGGCCCAACACATAGACACCATGAAGTTTTGAGGACCTCAACTTGAATACTGAAGTCCTCAAGGAATGGAAGCTTTGGGGTCTTCAATACTGGGTCCTAGATCACCTCAGTAAATGTAGCCATGGAACCAGGTAGTGAGCTAAATGAATGGTACACCAGCAGAAGCCCTACACTATCCTTGGGCAAAACAAGGTTGTTTTTTATTAACTTGTTTTTTATTAATATAATAGTAAGGCCAAATAATGAAAATCAGTAAAGCAAAGAATTACCAGTTATGTTTTGCCTTTCAGTTTAGCTTAGAACTGATCCTGAGAAGAATCCTGTGCCTTTAAGTCAGTGTGGGCAACTCCTTGGGAATTGTGGGGGCAACACTACTGTCCTTGGCAGCTGTCAAAAGGCCACACCCTTCCTTCCCTCATCATAGTTGCTGCCAGAATTGAGCAGCGCCTGCAGCAGCTTTATGATACAGGGTGGTCACAGTGTCCTCTTGCATCACAGAGCCCGTGTAAGAGTTTAAGATTAAGTGAGGAACTGGGGGGGAGGGATGTCTTGAGACATATCCTCTATCACTCTTGTTGCCACCACAAGAAAATCTATACCTGATGAAATCTTTTCTTCAGTAGAATAGCTTAAATGCTAAGGGGCCTTTTCAAGGACTGGGGGCTGGCTGCCACATCTATTAATTAGTTCCTATTTATTAATTCATTCTTTTGCTCTGTGTTCTCCAAGCTCCAACTGCTGATTAGATAGATGATCACTGTATGCTATACCTGTATGGATAAGCCAAACTTTGGAAATCTCATTTTTAGGCTCTGATTAGTAAAAATACACCCTTAGAGAAAATGTTTTGTTTCATTGGCTTCTTTTACAGCAATTATCTCCTGAATCCCAGTAAATAAGTAAGTAATTTTGACCACCCCTTAGACTGAGATTAGGATCCTAAACTGGTCATTGCTTGGATAATAAATAGATTCAAGCAGCTGACATGAAAGGGCCAGATTAAAGACATCAGCTTGCTTGCTTTTCAAGTTAAAATTTGAACAGCTGATTGTTTCAAGGGGCAGACAGAGAAGAGTTTGGTTTTATTGAACTTGCTGTTCCAGAGCAGTAAAGACAAACTGCCTCATTCTAGTGAGGGACTTGGGATATAAAGTGAGGGAGAATCTGAGGAGAGGCGTAGACTCTAGATAGGAATTCTTTGGACTGGATCAAAGTATTTGTGCATCTTTCTGCTTTTCCTGAACATCCTTGAGTATTTCAGAAATAAAATCCCACCCACCTTAAATGACTGGCATTGTCCATGTATGTGAATGTATTAGAAAATCTCCTTAAATCATTCTTGCAGTTCATTAAGGGGCTAAAGGGGAGTGGGTGATACTTCATTCACTGTTAGTTATTATGAGCCATAGGACCAAAGTCAAGGAAAACACTAAAGACCTGATGGCAAGATCTCATTTAACTTACAAAATGTAACAGGAAAGGGATCAGAGAGGAGGAGATGCTTAAGAGAAGCAGGTCAGGGTGCTACAAATTGCACATGCCCAGAGGGGTTTCACCCATAGTTCTGTGCTGTTACTTCCTCTCACCCTCCAAGAACCCTGCCCCCTGGAGACCCCAAACATGTCAGAGACATGATTGATTAAGTATTGTGTCCTAGAGAATGGCTGCTAACCAAATTGCCTTGGTACCACCCCCTGTTCGCACATGATGGAGTGACGCTCCAGTCAGTCTCTTGTTGCGTTTTTCAGCATTGTGGCAGCAGCTAATGGCAAGAGGCGGGAAGAACAGTGTATCAAAAAATGGGGGAATGATTCTGCTCATTGTGAAATCATTAAAGAGTTGAAAATCCCTTCAGTTTTACCACATTAATTCCTCTTTTATAGAATGATGATGTACAGAAATACTTCAAAAGATCTACTGGAAAAGTAGTTTCCTGGGTGGCTGTTACATGGGAACAAAACCAAAACAGGAGACAAAAGCTGCTATCCTAGATTTGTCTACTTAAAAGAAATTCAGTGAAACTCACTCCCTGGGAATAAAATCCATTGAAGTCAATGGGATCATTGCTGATTAGACATGAATAGAGCTAAGTTACATACAAGTCACATTCTGTCGTATAATCACATCAGTAATGTTGGTCTTGGTACCTCCATCAAACCACAGAATTTTAACCATTGGGATTACAGTTTATCTATAATCAGATGACTGTTTTACCAATCCATAACGTCTTCGTAACCTTCTCCCACTGCCCCGGTGCTTATTTTTGCATTTTGGACCTGGCAGTTGACGCTTTTGAATGAGAAGCTAAACTCAGAGAAACCAGATTGATGGGTACACTGTGGAACTACTGTAGTTAAAAAACCCATGATGGAAAAAAAAAGCCATAATTTAGTTATATTCTTTTCCTGATTTCATTTCAGCTGTTTCTACAGACTGCTAAATCTTTTTCGCAATCCTGGACCATAAGTGCTCTGTGGGTGGAGCGCTCAGCAATTGCTGTAGCTATCTCCGGCTTGCAGTTAGTCAAGCTGGAGATCACCTAATTAAAAACAAGACACAAATATTTGCACAGTGGGGAGATGAATGCCCCCTTGTGTAGTTCACATAAAAAGACACAATGAACACAATGAGGTGTTCCATTCATGGGAAAAAATCTATATATAGATTTAAATGCAGATACAGATTCTGAGTGTGGCGTAGTGGATAGAGTGACAGATTAGGACTGTGCAGAATAGGGTTCAAATCCCCACTTGGCCATGAAAACTTGCTGGGGGAGTGGAACTGCTAAAATCTCTCTTTAAACATCTTACTTACCTTGAAAGCCCCATTAGGGTCACTGTAAGTTAGTTCAGTCACCGAACACACACACATGTACTTCAAGTGTAAGGATATGTCACTGGACACCAAGACTAAGATCATCCACATTCATATTTCCAGTCATCATGTATGCGTGTGAAATTGGACAGTTAAGAAAGCTAACAGGGAAAAAATTGAATTGTTTGAAATATTATGCTGGAGGAGAGTTTTGTGGATGCCCTGGACTGCCAGAAAGACAAACAAGTGGGTCCTAGATCAAATCAAACTTGAACTATTTCTGGAGTAAGAAAAAAATCTTGAAGCTAAGACTGTTCTGCTTTGGGTACATCATGAGAAGACAGCATT